CCACGTTTAAGAATTTTGGAGGTAAAATCAACACAAAAATTAAAAACCTTATACAATATATAGAATCATGAAAATTGAGATTTTGTTATTAATTAATACCATTAAAATAACAAAATTTTGTGTAGGTTATTTTATAATATTCGAATTGATCTTTTCAATATCAAAAAGCTTTTTGATAATAAGATAATTTAGGATTAGAACAACTCACAAAGATTACCCTTTTTTTATTCTTCATGTTTTTCTAAATTGCGTTGAAACGACAACTCTCAATCGCCATCTCTCCACTTCCTCTTCATCCACCAAAATCCCACTTCCCTGCACGCACACAAATGAAAACCAAAACGACGCCTCAGGCCAGTTGGGGTGCATTGAAGAAGTGAGACTCTACCCAGCCAGTTGCAAACCTCTTCTTTCTCTACCCTTTACCATCTCCCAACTCCTCGGCCGACTTGTTCAGAAAGATTCTGAAGTGGGTTCGGTTTTCAAGTTTGAATATTCTGTGGGTTGTTTCATAGGGTTGGTTGTGGATGGAAGCTGTGGGTTTGGGGAAAGGAGATGTGGAGACTTGGTTTGGGCATGAAATTCTGTTTTTGTCCTATTTTGAACCCTTATTTGGGTGTGATCCTGTTCAGTGTGTTGCTCTTGGTGGAGTTCACTCGTTGCTTTGACTTCACTTGGAAGATTTTCACTTGGTCTGAGTATTAACACTCTACATTCATTATTGTTCATTGATTGAGTGTTTGTTTGGTGTGAAGGTTTAAACATCGTTTGCTTAGGCGTAATTAGCAAGCTTTATAGTTATTAGAAGTGTATGTATGGTTGAGTAATCAAAGTTAAAAGTTTTTTTTTTTTCAAAGAAGTAAATTAGCAAAAAGGCATACAAAAATAATCCTTTTATTTATGATTTCAACAAGATGTGTTTTGAGTCCATACAAATTATTGACTTATTTGGAGTGATGAATCTTGCAGGGGTAATGTAATACTCTAACCAAAATTCTTGGGTATGGTAATTTAATATTTTTAAAAGACTATTGGGAAGTTAGTTGACATGATAGCTCTCTTAATTCAACCAAGGACTAACAAAACAGAAAGCAAAGAGCTTTTATCAATAATGGAACTCCATTTGATCACAAGAGCTTTTTCCTTTCTTATTAGTAAATGGAGATGTTAAGCACTAGTTCGTTATTCAGATTTAGAATATACTATGTCATTTTAACTGGTTGGCCTGATAATTAATGATGTTTTGTGCTTGATGGTAAATACAGAGAAGAGAGTTGGGGCACATATTCATCACATTGTTGTGTTCACTTATTTAGCCTGATAATAAAGGCTCTATCATTAATTTGCAGGGGTTTGGTGGTTTTGGTGCACTTGGACATTCTGTCTATCTAGAGAGTTGTTTCCTAGATTGGTAAGTTCTTGGAATGGGAAAATACGGCACATCGCAACCAGTGGACACATACTCTGCAATAACTGAATCAGGTTGTTCTTCTTAACTGACCTTTTTTTTGTATGGAAATTCCTTACAGTATATTAGTTGGGTTTGCATTTTAGATATAGGCTGTAACCTGGACTAAATTTATATGAGTTTTGATTTGCGACCTTGGAAACACCCTCTTCTTGAACTCATAATGTGGAACATATCAATCTAGTACTGCGAACAAATTGAATGGAAACATATTCAAATGTCTGTAGGTTTATTATTCTTGCATTTATGTTTTCTAGTTGTTCTTTATAGAAAGATGATTCATATTGCCTTCATATTTGTTTACGGAAAGATAAAAAAGAAGATGTCAAATATCTTAATGCCTCATAGTTGTTTTTTTTTTTTTTTTTTTTTTTGGCAGCAGATGCATGAGAATGCAGTTAATTATATGCTAATTAGTTTAGATAGCAGTGAATAGTTTTTGATTTCAAAGGATTCACCAGGGATTGAACCAGTTAGGATTCAAATGGAGCTGAAGAAATAAGGGGGCATAAGAAAGTCGCGAGGGGAGGATGACGAGGCGTTCTAGATTTTAGAGTATCAGGCACAGAAGAATGTTGGGGAAGTACAAAATTGGGTGTTTTTGTATCCTTTGGATTGAGAGGATTGAGGCGTGACGTGCCAAGCATGGGCATGGTTTTCCAAGGTTGCAGATAGGGGTGAACCCCAGTCCATGGAATTTCTTGAGAGATAATGCAGAGGAGCTGGTGTTGAAAGGAACTACACTAAGGCCTTGAATGGCTGACGCTTCTAGACACCATCAATGGTTGTCTAGAAGTAACTACCCAAAGAGATTTAATGGTACTTATAGCATCGGCGACGTTTTTTTTACTATTTTTGCTTGAACCTAGTATCCCTTTTTGCTGTCATCTATATTGATTAAGTTCTTTAAAGTTCTTTAAGAGTTATTTGAAGAGTTTAGAATGAAAACCATTTTTGTACTATAGGAAAAGAGTACTTTGGAAGGCAGCTGATAATGAAGAGGCTAGTGGGCATTATAAACCTTGGAGTAATGTACTTAAGGGATTGGAGTGAAGAGAGATGTGAAGTTAGCATGCAATACTTTTTAGTGGTTGCCAATGCAGCTCAGCAGAAGGCATTTTACCAGTTGGCAAAAATGTTCACACAGGCGTGGGGATTAAGTAGAATCTACAAATGGAAATTTAGTGCTATTAGGGACCATTTGTACCTTTGTAGTTAATGCTATATGGTAATTTAGTGCTATTATGGCCCTCATCTCAACTGACTATGTAATCTCACTTTGTTTTTTGAGTATAGAGCCCATTTGTACCTTGTAGTTAATGCTGTTGTATTTAATTTCATTACAAGATGGCTAATTTCTAACCAAGGAGTACATTGTACAGTAGATTAACTCAAATGAAATGTGCATCCAGCAAACTATACAATTGTAAAAGGTACTTTTAACTCAAATCAAAAGTGTTAAAGTAGTACAATTGAAAAATACTTTTAAGTTTTAACTCAAATGAAATGTTATCCAGCAAACTATACACTGCTGAGCTGCCAAAAAAAATCAGTTTTCAGATGTTGAACACACACTGCACAAGTTGCAAAAATGCAAACAATTGAGTTGCAACTCCGAAAAAACATCCCGAAACTGCAAGTCTAGAACGCCGGAACTCCACAGCCTCCCCAAATAATCTTAACTTCCAGCAACAAGAAACTGCAAAACCTGCAGAACTGTCCATGGAACGCAGAAAAATGCAGCAATTAAGCTGCAGCTCCACAGCCAGCACCTTCCCAAAATCCCTCTAGAAACACCACACAGACACAAAAGAAGCAGCTTTCTGTTGCAGCAACTTCAACATGCCCACACTTCACGCCAGCCAACCAAACACTGCAATCACTGCATGACACTCCTAGAAACTCAAAAAAAAATGCCCAAGCTTCATAATCAACAAAAAAAACTGTACAAACTGCAAAGTTCTCCCAGAAACAGCAAAAACACTAAATTGCACAAACTACGAAGTTGCAGAAAACTCCTAAACATTGTCCAAACTGCAAGTGCAAAGACACACAAACTCCCGGTAGTCCTACCAGAAATCAAAATTCAGCCTTGATCTGCATTTAATTAGAAAATCTATTCAAATCTGGTCTGATTCAGAAAATAAATCAGAAACATGAAAAAATTAGTTCACTCCAAAATTAATTAAACTTCTACCTATGAGGAAAATGGAGAAGAAACACTAGACCATAGTCAACTAAGAAACCAAATTACAAATAGAATCTAACACTAGTGTAATTTTCTTTGCAGCTTTCTTACAAATATTTTCATCAATTCAATATATTTCCACGCAGACCAAACAAAAGCGTATAGTTCTTTATACTTAAACACAGAGAATAAAGAATAACGGAAGTGAGAAATTGTAACACTCTCTTTATATAAGTTAAATATGAGAGCCTTTAAGCCAATACCTATGCCAAAAAATATGCTAACCATAGCACACACCAAGCCAAATTGATGAATCTTTCTATTTTTTTTTTTTTTTTTTTTTTAAATTCTGTGCCTAATTGTACCATGGAAGACATCAATAAACTGGAATCAAGGTAAGAGGACATAACAAGCCACATGTTCCAGACCGGTTGCCTGTATCAAGAATTTCGAGGAGACCATTAACCTAAAGGCTATTAAAAAATTTGAAACAAGCCCTATAGAGAGAGAGAATTATATATCAAATCAACAATAAAGTGATCGCATGCATGATTAAGTTAAAAACAATACATAGCTAACATGAAAGAAGATTCTTACTTCAAGGAGGAATGACCAAATCCTACTCTAATACTTGGATCAACACCCTGCATTGCAGAATGAAGAATGAATACTCACAACAATAGAGAGAGAATGATAAAACAAAGTGGTCACAATTGAAAATTATATGGAATGAATAATTCGAATATAAGTTGATCAAATTTTTAAAACATACCCCAGTACGCCTTTCTTCAGAAACTTGACACCACCTTCAATAGTCTTCCATTGGTGTAAATAAGCTCTTCCATTGTTTGGCAAGAAGCACTGTTTTCTTCTCCTACAGGACAAGGGTGATTTAAGAGTACCCTTAAAGAGAACAAAACAAATAAATATCTTCATAAAGGAATGGAAATAACAATTATATTGAAAAACAATGCAGAACAAAAATGAGCGTCAATGCAATGCACATAACACATAGACTAGTTGAAATTTTGGAGAACTTCATAACAGAAAGAAAATAAAAGATAAAGCACAAGCTTCTTTCCATATACATTGAGATGTGCAAACAAAACAACAAACGGGAAAAGGCAACACTCTTAACTCATCAACACTAACACTTACACTTTAAATTGGTCATCCCTGCAATTATTCAGATATGACTCAATCCACTTGTAAATAAAAATGACAAGGTGTTACCATTTTTTGGTTGAAGAGACACAAGATAAGAAATGGAATAATAATATTTCAAGACAAAAATCAAACCGTCAAAAACACCAAACTGATCTTGCTGTATCAGTCTCTTTTTTTGGGGTGGTTATTCGCCTCTACCCTGGCCTCCTGGACACAGGAACCCAACTGTTAACCCATAAATAACTTTTGTGACAAACAAATTGACTCCATTATTAATAAATGACAAAGCCCCCAAAGAATGGCTCTTAGGATCGCATGCAACAAAAACAAAATCACGAGTGTTAGTAGAGTTTTGAAATGCTACCTTCTGTTAGTAGAGTGAAGGGCGTTTGGGATGGTGGATGGCGACGACCTGGTGCGACTATGGTGGGCTGAGATTGGAGAATGTGGTGGCTAGCATTTTCAAAATTGAAAGAAAATTTGGGGAATTTTTTGGGTCCCATTTTAGGGAAATTGAATTAATTTGATTTGTTTGAGGGAAAGTGGAGATTTCAAATTTTAGGGTATTTTGAAAATTTCTTTTTTTTTTTTTTAAGTTTTGGGGGAAGTGATGTGGCAGTTTGGTGAGGTGGCAGATGAGATGCATTTGCCATGTCAGCTGCCATGTCATATGTGAGAGAATGGTGTAAAAGGTGGTGTAAATCTAGTTTTACTCCTACACCTCTTTTTATATGTGTACAGTAGAGTAAGTTGAAGACTAGTAAGAGAAAGTTGACTTAGGCTAACTACTTAAAACACTAGTAAAAAGCGACAGCATAAAGTATCACTTTAAGTAAGTGAAGGATAGTTGTGACATTTTACTTCTTTCAGCTTCCAGCATTTGTCTTTCATAGTCAATATCCCCCCCTCAAGCTAAACTGCCCTGCAGTTTGAGCTTGTAATAAAAAACTTTGGCTCGGCAATAAACAAATCCCATCACTCTGCAGTAAAATAATTGAAACTCCAACTTCACTACACTTCAGATCATATTTGTAGTAGATCTCAACTTGATTCTGCTTCATAGCTGCTCTGCATTGCAATCAGATCTTCTAACCTTCAGTGTGTCAATCTGAACTGTTAATCCTCAACTACTACACAAACTACCAACATACCAGCTTCAGTTCATCAACACCCCACCTTATCTACTACACAAACTCAATGAAAGGAACTTCACTTCAGTAAACCATCAGCAACAGCTTAAAAGGAATCACTTCAGTAAACCAACAGTACAGCTTCATTTATCAACAGCTAATTGTGCTCAATATGCCAACATCAACATAGCACATTATCAACAACTTTCACTTCAATTTTAATCTCAGCTGCTAACCACAAACTCATCTCAACTACTACCCAAGCTCAAAAAAAAAAAAAAAAATCACTTCAGTATACTAACAGCAACAATAAGAACTTCTGAGTATTAACAGCACAACTTCAATTGAAGCTACTGGTCACAACTCCAATTAACAGACTATATCACTGACAACTTCATTGTGGAGAGGGGCCTCAAAGGTAGAATGAATTAGTTCAAGAGGCTTGGAAGCTCCACTAGAAGAATATGGAAAAATAGATCGTGCAATCTACCAATTGACATGCTAAGCAAAATGGCAAAGACTTACAAGGTTTATTATGCATTTAATTGTGCAAACACAGTGCTCAAAACTTGCTCATTGGGGGTCCAAGTCTCTTATGTCATAGCATTGCTTTTAACTTGTCAGTACACAAAGCTTGACGGCTAAAAACTAAGTTTCAAGTTAAAAGCTTAACGGCTAACAACATAGTTTTATTGATAAAACATTAAGTGCAGATGCTACATAGCTGTATCGCCACAGTTTTACCTTTGACCCCAAATTCTCATTCCTAAGAGAACGTTACATTCTAAAGTATTAAGAGAAACACAGAATTTTTATATGTAGCAACATGAAACAGTTGAGCAGAGGTTTAGAAAAATCAGTAGATCAACATTCTGCAAACAGCAAGCATCAGAGGAAAGAGAAACTGAAGTAAGCCTGAGTATGGATAGTAGAAGCTGGAACAAGAGAGGAGATGAGGAATCTTATTGGTACAAACCAACTTTAAGCTCCCCTTGTAACAACACTATCTTGGTGATTTGTCCTTGATCATATAATGACAGCAAGGAATTCAACTACACAATTATTATCCTTTGTAAATTGGAAATCCTTAGCAAATTTTTAGACATGAGGAACACCGAGAACATTTTTAAGATAAAAAATATAGATTTCAAGCACTTGATAAAAAGTAAAACCTGTATGAGAAATGTTCACAGCACGCTCACATTCCCAGCTTGAGTTTGATCCTGGCTAGTGTAGCTTGCATTTACCACAACTGACTCAAATTTGTTGTGACATGATCATGGCTCTTGACTTGATGTACCAAACTGGTTCTCTGACTGTAGCTGAAGCAGTTGTTGCATATTATTAGAAACATTGTGAGTAGACAAAGAGGCTTGAATTGAGGAATTATAACCTTGAGCTGGAGAACTTGATGTGAAATCATAGCTGGTGAGACATTGCATGCTTGAACAGCCATATTAGGTTGAGGAGAACTGCAGTGTGGCTTGACTTACCACATGTTAAATAGGCTTTTTCTATAATTAGAACCTCTACCATAATCTCTTCCTCCTCCTAAAAACTGATTCCTGAAAGTGCTGAGAATTGAGGAACAAAATTCACATGTTTAGCAAAAAGAGCTGATGAGAGGTAGGATATAAGTATTGAAATTGGGAGTTTGCTTAGGTACTAAGTACTATGGAACAGGATTATAGCCAGCAACACTAACCCTTTATGACCAAACTAGGACATAGTCCGCATCAGTGGCACCTTGATTATTCACAACATTATCATTTGATTTCTGGTTCTATTCTAACCAAACTTATAATTGACATATACTCTAAACTAACCATTCACCTAATCTCCATTAAGTCTAAACTAATAGCAACTGATAGCAACATTATTCTTCTAATTGTAACTCATACTTTTGTAACAAATTTGGCCTTTTGCAATGATATTCTTCCAAAGCTAGAAGTAATGTTAACTACCCACACGATGACTCAGGACAAATCCAGTATGTAATTCAACAAATCCTCATCAGTTATCACACAACCGCTAGCATAGTTACATCATCAACATATCGTTAGCTTTAGTCTCCGAAACAAGTTCTTGTTCAAGTGGCCAATTTTAAAGCTAACTGACATTTAGAAACTAGCCTAAATATCGATTCAGAGATAGAAGCAAAAAGCCAACTCACTAGACATTTGTCGATTCTCTTCCATAACATATTAGGATTGACCTTCTTCATCATTGCACTAGTCGAAAATCCTTCTAAACTGACCTTCGAGAACGGAGGTGGCAAAACACTCAAACTATGATGTATCTTCAAGCTCTGAGCTGACAACAAATAAATCTGAGATCTCCAAAGTCGATAGTTGTCACGATGCAATTTGGGGTAATAAATTACATGTGGAAGAATAAACTGTATGGGATCGGATGAACAGGTCAAGAGTAAAATTTGCATTTTCTCATAATTGTTTGGAGGGGAAGAAAACAACCCAGAATTGTCTTTTGACAGTTATTAAGGCATTAGTTATGACTAATAACTTGAGGACATTATACGAAGTGATTGCCATTTGAACAACTAAATTATTACTAATTTGATTAATATAATATTTTTTCTAGGCCCAAATTGCTGTTTATGTTAGTCTAGCCCAACTGAATAATAAATCGTGTTGGGTCGGCACAACCACTATTGTGTATTCGAGGCCCAATAGGGCACAACATATGGGTCGTGCCAAGCTCAGCCCAAGCACAAATGGGCTAGCACAAAACTGGCATGAATGGACTTTTGCGCTTACATTAGAAATTTCAATTTCAAGTTTTTTACCACAAAACTAAATTAATAATTTTTTTCCCTTTTTTATTCAAGTATTTTTTTTTTCCTAATTGATAATATTGAACAACTTTAATATTTAAACTAGGTGTAGGGTTTAGGGTCCTTGCCTCGCCAAGGTATGTTTATTGCTTGTATTTAAAACACTTCGTAAACAACATTATATTACAACAAACACCAATTATAGTAAATCACATGTAACGAAATGCAATATTTTATTTATTAAGTAGTTAATATACACCAGTTCAAGAACGTAAAAACTCTTTGAACAAAGTAAAAGTAAATTTAATAGATCAATGGATTTCTTAGGATAATAACAATATCCAATGTCATTTTCATGCAATTTATATTTCTTAAGTACTATGAATTCAATTAGTAAACCATTTTTAATTTTCATTTAAGATATAGTTTGACACACTTGTTTACTACAATTAACAATTGTTTAGTATAATTTTTTAATAGATAAATTTAACAGTGATTGGTGAATTTGTTAAAGATAAAAACAATATAAGATGTCATTATTAGATGGTAAGAATTGTTTTACTTTTCATTTTGAATTATGGTTCGACAACTGCCTTATTAAAATTAAAAATTGTTCAGCATATTTGTTTAATATGTAATAGTAACGATGATTAGTAATTGTGGTTGGACAGTGAGATTGCAAATTGAATGAGATCTTGATCTATTATAATTATGGATCAATCATGGTTCGACATCTGACTTATTACCATGTTATAGTCAATTGGAAGTAGACCTTGATCTATTACAATTATGGATAACTTATAGTTCGACAAGTGGGTGCTCACAATTTTATAGTCGAATTTTTTGTTCGGCATTTGGTTTATTACAATTAATTAGTATAAAACATTATGGGTCAACATTGAGATTTTTAACTCAAGGAAACCTTTGATCTATTACAATTATGAATAAATTATGGTTCAACCAATGGCTTATTACAATTCTATAGTCAAATTTGTAGTTCAACATTTGGCTTATTATAATTCAGTAGTAGAAAAAGTTATGATCCGAGAATGAGGTTTTGAATTCAAGGAGACCTTGAGCTATCACAATTTTGGATACATTATGGTTTGGCGACTTGTTTATTACACTTCTGAGCATCACAAAGAGCCTATGCGTGAAACATCAAACCGAGAGACCCTGCACTCAATGCGTAGCAAATACTAAATATAGCTTGTAAATGATGTCAGTGCTTTGCTAGTACTGAAAAGAGTAGAGACATGTGTAACTCATGCAATGAGTGTATGCCATGTCAGCATACAATGTGTGTACTATGAATGAGTCTATCCCATGTAATTAAGTATCAATCATATGAAGGATTAAATGAGTTAAATCTATTTTGATATCTGACATTAATTATGTCACAAATCCATATCTTATAACCCATTAAAACCATCTAATTATATATAGTAATTAATATATAAGAATAAGAAGAATGTTATTTACCTGCTGGAAGTCACATGATGTAGT